CGGCCCGGGCCGGAGGCGGCTGGTCCCGCGCGCTGGGGGCTGCGGCTCGCGCTTATGAATGGTGCCCGCCGTGCCGCCGCCGCCGCCTCGCCCACGCCGCGAGGTGCTCGGAAGTCGGGAGCCGTAGTTACTTTTTTTACGCGAATCTGTCGGGGGCTGACTGCGCCTCGCTTGTTTTGCTCCAACTCTTGGCAGACGCGGGCTCGTGCGCCTTCGCGGGAGGCGGCGGCGACGCCAAAGGTGAACAAGTGACATTGGGCCGAGGCCTGAGGCCGGCCGCCGCCCGCCCGGGGCGCCAGGGTGACGGCGGCGGCCTCGCTGGTGCCGCCCGAGCCCGAGGAACGCCAGGTCCCGGAGCTGGGGCGACCTTCGGCCCCGTCGCGCCGCGCGGAGCGGGAGCTGCTGCAGGGGAGCCTTCCGCGCCGAGAGCGGCTTTTGGAAAACTTAGCTCCACGGTGGGCTGATGGTTGCTTTAAACCATCGGTTGTTATGGTTACAGGGCATCCAGTGTAAGGGTAAAGTCTGTTCCACCCTCGCGCTCTTTCTCCGGAGCCATGAATTCACTTTGCCGCTACGTTTTAGTTTTGCAGACGCTGTACAGACGTGAGGTGCTTTTTCGGAGAAGCAGGAAAGTGTGGGCCGCCCGGGGGACAGGGGCTGAGCCCCGTTCGCGTGCGTGCTCCCGACGTCTGCACACGAACTGGAAGGAAGGAGCGTTTTACGGGCTCTGCTGATGATCGTCTAAGGATTTAGAGCACTCATTTCAGGAGCCAGGTGTCATCTGGAAGGGAAACTGAATGAGTTTGATGTGAAAGACAAGGAGGAGAAGCGGAGGGGGCAGAGATCCTGAACTCGGGGAGTGAGTTGGAGGAGTCGAGGTTTGCGAGTTGTGGAGCTCGTCGACCCAGGGGAGGAAGCTTGGCTCTTGAGAGTGAAACTGCCGTTTCAGTAGCTCTTACCCAATCTACAAAACTGTTACAGTGCATTCAGATTCTTCCAGAAATTGACGCCAAGCCTCCGGAGGGGATGAGAATGCAATCAGACCTTTGCTTCTGTCTGTCTTATCATGTGAGCCCCTCTGGGAGCTTCGGGGAGGATTTGGGGTTTGTGCTTGCTGCATTCCCTTGCTGTGTGTCTCCTGGAAAAGGCTTTGCGCCTGAGAGGGGGGCTTGTAACACACTAACTCAGATCAGAAGTTAGTGGTGCTGAGCGCTCTCACCGGGTAATCCAAGGGCTAGGACAGGAGGTGGAAGGAAAAGTCAAGAGTTTGGTTTGAGTGCTGGGAGGTGGTGTTTAAGGTTTGATGATCGAGGAAAATGTGCTCTGATAGATTGGAGATGTAGCATAGGCCAAGCCTACTGCGTGTTACGGGTTATGTTGTTAGGGTGCTTCTGGAGTGGAATTGGGGAATACGAGCTTTTCAGGTAGCACTGCACAAGGAGAAATTGCTTAGATTCAAGAAAGAACTATTCTGTAATCCCAGCACTTGAGGGGCTGAGGCAGGAGGATGATTTCGAGTTAGACCAGCCTAGGCTACAAAGTGAGCTAAAGGCCAGCCTGAAGTACATAACGAGACCCGCCTTACAAAAAAAAAAAAAAAAAGAAAAAAAGGACAGGGAGATAGCAAAGAAGAATAAGCACTTGCCTGGAACGTCCAGCATCCTGAGTTCAATTCCCGAAAGATAAAAATAAAGAATCCAGCCACTTCTGACTGAATGAGGCCTTGGGGGGACATCTAGATATAAGGCATAACA